GCCACCTTTGTACAAAACAGATCCTACCATAAGGTTTTATTGACGTTTCTTAATATGTTGAGCATTTGTACAATTCTTCATCTAACTTGTCCTGATTAATAACTGTCAGAGGAAAGTTCTAAAATAAATAGCCTACATATATATTTTTTAATTGACTATAAACTAGACATCAGTAACTGAAAGCACTGCGAGACTCTTAAGAATGGACTAATCCAGGTGAACTCATCACTTACATTCTGAATTGTTTTTATAATACTTAAATATTATGTAAATATAGCAGGCCAAACTTAGAATTCTGTTGGATGAATACATCCCGACTGAAGTTGGTGATATCCAGCTTCTTGCCTTTGATACTAAGAATCAGATCCCTTCCTTATTATATTAGTGAAACTGTGAAAGTAAAAGGGAAACTAAACTTTGCAATCTAAGAGGTTTCTATCCTCAAATGAGTTGTCCTTCGATTTTATCTTGTGTGTCTTACTCCATACTTCTAGATTCTGTTTTGTTTTGTGTGTCTGAAAGTCAGTGCTCTTTCTAAAAAGCAATCTGTAAAATAGATACAGTTAGCTTGTGTGTGTTTATAGTCAAGTGGTGTATCATGGAGTGGCTTTTGCACTCATATTTGTGGAAGATTAAAGTTGTGTATGATATATTCTTTAAAAATATTATTAAAGGCTAGTTTTCAAATTTCTTCTTTAATAGCTTAACAGGAACTTTCAACGTAGAGGAAAGAAACTCTCCTCTCAGCTAAGTGCCTACAGTTAAAGGGATATTATTTTTAAAGGGGAAGGGGGCAGAGACTAATTAATTCTTTCCGTTCACAAGGCCAGCACAAAGTAATTAGCATAAGCTTCGCAGGGGAAAGTTTAATTTAAAAATAAAACAATGAAATTTTGGCACTGTCCCAGTGCACATCAGAGTTTGTCCATGTATATTAACAGTATATGTTAATTGAAGATGCATGGTCATGAATGTTGGCTATAATTAGCTTGGTTGATGAAAGGATAAATAAGCAAGCACACAGTTGTATGAACTTCTAGACTTAAGACAGCAGCCCATGGGATGAAAAGGGAAGCTGTTAGTGAGCAGCGGATTAAAGCAATGCCAAGATGTAAAAGACCAGACAGGTTAAGTCCTAGCTATCAGGTCAGTAGAGTTGTGATTGCCTTTCCACCACAGCCCTCCTTTCATGGCTTTTTTCAGATGTTTGAAGGGTGGGGGTTTTGCAGGTTAGATTTTTTTTTTCTGCAGAAGGGAAAAATGAGACAACTTAGACCTGCAAGGAGGGCTGTGTAAGCAGGATAAATTGTAGGAAACTCCTAAGAGCATGAGGTACCCCAAAATATATAGCGTAAACAAAAAAAAGCCTACACCAGTATCCTCGAGGCATGGCTATGTACAAGTAGTTTGTCTGACTTTTTGGGACACTTGCCATGTCTTCCATGATTTGAGATGAATAACATCATTTTCCAAGCACTATGTCAAACTTACAGATCTTTAAATCATTGAGGCTGTACTGAGACTAAACCATCTAGGAATGGGTTGTCATCTTACCAATGTTCCCTCTAAATTTTTCTATCCATATGCGACATAAATTTTGTTCACCAAGGCATGTTTGGATGTGCACCACCAGTAGAAACATTGGCTGCCAGCAGTGAGCACTGGGGGTGCTCTTCTAATTGGCTGGGTGGTACCTGAACCTCTCCTGGGTGGCAACCAGAGGGCTCATCTTACAGGGAACGCTGTTTTCTTACCCTAACCATGTTTTGAGGACAGATTAGTAGGGATTTAAAGTACTGTAAGTGAAATCAGAGGCTTTATTCCAAGACTGCTGCTTTCTGAGGGTCATGCATAATGTAGGTGTCATGATCTTCCTTTGTCAACTCCTGAAGGGTTGAACCTGTCTATGAAGGAAATCTGATCCTAGCACTACATTTTGCTGAAGGAATGTGGTTACATCGTATAGAACAGCAAGTTTAGTTTGAAGCATACTTTCAGAGTAAACGTTCACTTTCCTTAGTGACATTTCCTCATTTCTAAAGGAAATGTGCTCTCTTAGGGCAGATATATATTTTCCTCTGTTCCATAGGTCCAGCTATCTCCTTGCATGTATAGAACTGCTGTTGGTAGTTATGTGTATAAGAGAGATCTTTACAAGCAATACTGTGGAAAATATAAAACTTCTCAGTACTTGGGGAAAACTCTCATACTGTGTAAGTAATTTAGAACCACTACAATGAATATCATCAATCTTTGGCTCCATTCCTGTGGTTTTTTAAATTTTTTCTGTACACGGTTTTTACTTTTTGCATCAAAAGTGACTAAGCCTTTAATTTGTTTTTACATTTAAATATTTTGTTTTAAAAAAAAAGATTGTGCAATATATAGGATGACTTCCACTCAGCACCTTTTGTTTTGTAAAATTTTATTTTCCCAGTGCGGAGGTTGGACATACATGCTTTCCCCAGCATCACAGTATGTGAAGAGACTCCCTGTTTTAAATTAAAAAAAAAAAGTTGGGGGGAGGGTTAGCTCAGTGGTTTGAGCATTGGCCTGCTAAACCCAGGGTTGTGAGTTCAACTCTTGACGTGGCCATTTAGGGATTTGGGGCAAAAATCTGTCAGGGATGGTACTTGGTCCTGCTGTGAAGGCAGGGGGACTGGACTCAATGACCTTTCAAGGTCCCTTCAAGTTCTAGGAGATAGGAAGTCTCCATTCATTTAAGACCATGAGCTTATCTTGCACTATTCCCAGGGTTCTGCACAAAGGTATTTTGGCATGTAACAGCAGTTGCCATCATTTTGATTACAGTTCCATTCAAAGCACAGACACCAGTTCATACAAGAGAAATACAAAACTTCCAATAGAGGGAAACTGAAATTTTATATGGTTCTTGAAAAATTGTGTAACTGATTGCAATGGAAAATTAGCTTGATAGTGCCCCATTTATGGTATAAAATGTATGTATAAAAATGGTTTAAACATGTTCATTTGTTGCTGTACGTGTGTAATGTATGGGGACCTACCAAATTCAGTCTAGTTAATTTTCATGGTCATAGGAATTTTAAAACTATAAACTTCAGAATTTCCACTATTTTAAATCTGAAAATTCATAGTGTTGTAGTTGTGGGAGTCCTAACCCAAAAAGAAGTTGTGGTGTGGAGTATTGCAAAGTTATAGTAGGGGTAGCAGCTACGCAGAAGTAAGGATGACAATACCACAATCCCTGACAATAACTTTGCAATTCTTCCCGCCCCCTCTCCCCCAATCCCTTTTGGGTCAGAACTCCCAATTTGAGACACACTGGTCTCCCTTGTGAAGAAATCTATATAGTGTAAGACACACACAAGACTAGATTTCAGTTTGATGCATTTTTTATAGCTATGAATTTGGTAAGGCTCTAGCAATGTATATTGAATTTTTATCTGTAGCAAATTTAATTTGTGTATTGTTCTTTGAGATTTTATGGTTACTTGGTCAGGAAAATATAAAGGTTGTATAATTATGGTACAGTTCTTTCACTTGTACTTCAAATGCCTTGCAATTCCAGGTGAAGTAAGATTTTTTTTCTTTTTCAATTCAAAATCTGTGGCCTTGAATGTGCTATGCTTATATATATATAAAATTTAAAAAAACCTGGGATTTCTAAAATGTTTTGTAATTTTAAATAAAATCTGAGTAACTTAACTAGCTTATCTTTCATCTACTAATAATTTGGCATTAATATCTCCTCCTGCTGGAGGAAACTGAAGGAAATCCCTTCCTCCTTTATTCCTACTTCAGGCCATTTGCCCAGTTTGTTGGGGAGGGCTTCCATTGTGCTTGGACTAGGGAGAAGTGGTCATCTTAGTCTTATAGAGGGTCCCACGAATTATCTTCTGAAATGTTCAATATTCTGACACTGAAAAACATTGTGCCAAAATGGTCCTTCCACAACAGACTTTACATCTACAGATTGCTGTAAATTATTTAGTATGTACAATTCAAATACTGCTTTTCAATGGACTGGATTATTGTTTGTCATTTTAAAAATGGCAGGCTTGTATCAAGAAAGCTCATAAATGAAAAGGTAGCTGTAGGGGAAATGTATTTATCTAAGTGTAGAGAAGAATGATCAAATTACTCAGCTCGGTAAGAACTGAAAGTAGATATCTGTTGTGAAAGTGTTTTGTCTAAGTGCTTAAAAAAATACTAAGTCCTAAACATACAGCTTTTTGGAGAAAATATGTTCCTTCCACTCCACCAAGGGTGTTATATTATTGCTTTCATATAATGGTGAGAGGTGCACCTAGCTAACCTAAGGCTTTTTTATTTTTTTTGTAAACCAGGTGAGTATAATATAACTAGGGACCTTTTTCTTCTTATGCATTGAAATTGGTATGAAGGGCTTGCATCATTCCAACCAGAGGGGTGAACCTGCCCCCACTGAATACAATGACAATAGGTGGCCTTGGGTTTTTAGATGAATGTGCCAGTCAGAATTCTGTTGGGGCTGGCTGGGACAAAAATTGCTATAAATTTGAAAAGAGTTGAACTTTTGAGAAGTGACTAGAACACTTAGCCACATACATAAGAAACAAGGCACAATAATGTACCACAGCTGTGGATGTACAGGAAATTAATGTAACTTGGGTAGTGGGAAGGGCAGTAGAGTTTGTTGACAAATACAAAGTCCATAATACTGCTGATACAGAGGCTCAGCAGGACTTTGTCCCTGAGTAGCTCCTTTACAATCAGTGGTGTTACACTGGTATAACAGAGTAGAATATGCCTCCTAAGCTGTTGCTCACTAGATAATATGCAGATGGCATCTATATGCTTCAGTTTAGCCATATGTGACTCATTCCAGAGGTTAGTTTCTTTAGTCTAGAGTAGGGAGGAGAGCTTCCTCTTTAGAACATGGAGTATGCCTTACCACGTGCACACTCACTCAAGGCAGCAAGTCCTTCCTCTAACACCGACTGCTTTATTCCTAGTGAAT